TGCTAAATGTGAACACATATTTCCTAACGGATAATTAAATTTTCTTTACGTTCAGAACTACAGTCAATCCCATTAACGCTGTTCACTTGTAAAGACAACATATTTTTAATTTCCTTGCAAGAATATTAACCATAAAGGTGTAGCAGTACATTACAAAGCCAATAATAATRATTATCGTTTAGWAATAAAATTCTTCCTGGAAATTCTAAAATTTGTTTTGTGCAAATGACTTTGTTGTTCTCTTACATCATGACAACTGAACAACTTTAATTGTAATTAACGCTGTTCACTTGTAAAGACAACATATTTTTAATTTCCTTGCAAGAATATTAACCAGAAAGGTGTAGCAGTACATTACAAAGCCAATAATAATGATTATCGTTTAGTAATAAAATTCTTCCTGGAAATTCTAAAATTTGTTTTGTGCAAATGACTTTGTTGTTCTCTTACATCATGACAACTGAACAACTTTAATTGGAATGACTGTATATAGATCAAATAATTATTAAAAACCGTTTTTGTGTTTGACTAATGACTAATCGAAACTAATTGTAAGACCAAGTTCAAACGCCAAGGTTATTGTTATCAATACGAATTCGTATATTTTCGAAACCGCATTATTGTTGTGTATTGTTTATGACGAAAATCCCCAAAAACGATGACCTTGTACAGATATTTTTGAGAAGAACCCTATGATCATTCCTTTGAAATCAAATAAAAATACGCGGTAAAAAATGTGYGAAACAATTTAAATTGCGAATAATTGCGATTGTTCAATGCGATTACTAAACGAAAGATTGAACTTTATATACAACAGTAAATTCGGCGTATGAACTGGCTTTAGACTTAGCCCTCAAACAAAGTAACCGTCATTTGGTGTTCTAATAAATCCCTGAACGTCGACTCCCCTCTCCATAAAACCCGAACAACTCCCTATAACATTGTCGATTCACACACAGTTCGTTTTTGAAGGAGWATTCTGGGAAGCATTTTGGAATTGATTGACGGCATGAAAAACCTCCAAATGGCAGTTAGGATTCTATTGGAATTTACATATTTATGAAAAACCCGTTAATAATATATGATTATTTTAGATGGTAATGAGCAGTAATAAAAGTGTAATTTTTTCTGGCGTATGCATGATTCAGTTTCAGTTGTAACGATCCTTCTAAGTGATAAGASTTGATATGTATATAAATAACATCCTGGAGAACGATATGGTTGATATTGTGAAAAGAAAATTGAGTTAATTCAATAAAATATTAATATTTTGGATTTATTTGATTAATCTTGACTGGTGACACTTTTAAAATATGCCTTAATAAAACGGAACCAATGAATTTGAAAGCATCAGAACTGACAGTTTTTATTTGTTATTCTTATTGATCGTTTTCCAACCATTCCCATGAGATTCAAAAGACGAAAGACCGGCGACCATGTTGGTGGAATGAACAATAGACCTCCATGTCTCTGCTTATTAGCTGTATAGAATAGAAACAAAAAGGAATGAAAGAAAAAAGACTGAAACAAATTGCCGAGCTCACTACTTCTTGTCATTCCTATTAGGCAGCTGTTTCTGAGTAAATTGAGGTCCGGAAAGAAAGTTATGATCTATGGTGCTAAGTATATGTCGAAGGATCTTATAAGATGAATCTTATAAAAGAAGAAGTGCAAAAATAACTCTGAATCGTCACTAAACAAAGTAATTGACTCAAGATTAGCTGAAAATTAAAAATCTAGAGTAATTGATTTTTTCATTTTTTTTAATCATTTCCAAAGATCTTTAGAAAAACCCTATAACGCTGCTGCGCAGAAGGGGCGGACTTTAGGGTTCTCAGTAATGTAGTATATTTGCTGGCAGGTATCACGCCGTAAATATAGACATCTTATCACGATCAGTWGCGCAAGGCATGTTACCAAGTCAAGAAGTATAGTGTTGCAATACATATTAGCAGATCAGAATTACAAGGCCTAGACTCTCATTATTGATACTCAACATCTTGATTTGGTTTGAGTATAGGAATTGTTTAACAAATGAAGGAACCTATGTTGTCGCTCGCTCTCTCTAGTGTGCCATTTTATAAAGCTGCTCTACGATGTTTTCTCTGTTTGTCGATCGTTTTTTTGGCTGTGGTTTCTGGCAGCTGCTCAGGTTCTTCCAGTATTCTTCACTTTTCCACTACAAATCGCATTTACCAAACCTTTTCAACGAAAAACGCTGCAGAYTGTTTTTTGAAGTGCCACTTCGATGACAACTGCTCTTCGTATAACTATGAATACAGGTCTTACCAACCTGGCGAGCACGTTTGTGAGCTGAGTAGATGTGGGACAACAGGGACGACATTGGTCGCTAGGGAACGATTTTGGTTTCATAATTTACGACAATCTAAGGTCAGTAATGAGTAAAATTCATSAGAATCAGACTTCAAAAACAGATGTATCGATTCTTGTRCCCTAGCCCTGCCATGTTTGCATTCATACAAATGGTCWTTGGCCATTTACCAGCTAWAAATGCAGAGATGACCGGGAATCCGAATGTTACCTCGCAGTATCAAGTGTTTAAAGTAAAAATAAGTATCAGTTTTCTTTTATACTGCACAGTTAGACAAAARCAATTTATGAGGACTGTTTGAATATCAGAAGGAGCCGACAGGTTCCTGGGAGACTGATTATATCTGTTCTTATGTCCCAGCGAGCTGTAAGTCACAACTGGTTGCCAGCCAGAGAAATTGAGAAAAAAAGAACTCCCCAGGCAAGGAATACTTTCTAGAAGAATTTTTGCCAGGAAAATGAAAAGTTCTTAAATAAAAACAATGTAAGCCTTTTTTGACCTTAAAAACGTTTGCCAGGAACAAAATTACTTTAAAGAAGGAAGGATCTGTTGGCATTTTCTTGTGAGATTGTCAGCAATATGTAGCTCAAAATCCCTTTCCCAGGAAAAAATTCGTACAAGAACAGTTATTAGAAGAACAGAACCTGTCCTCTTCTCCTGGAACATCGTCTTGTAGTTGCCCAACGCGACGCAAACAATCAAATATGCCATAATAACACTATGGATAGACTTTTACTGGTCTCCTATTGGGTAAGCGCTCGATGTAATTTAATTCCCTATTTCTGCTCGATTTTCGAACTTTAGCTTTCTTTATTACGACTTGTGCCAAGTCTACTCAAAGGATTCCAACTAATGCTTAAGTGAGCATCGTAACTAAATAAGCATTTTTCGGGAGAGCTTTTTTATGCCAAGCACTTGATAGAGCTGAAATTTCGCTCGCCATTTTGTAGAGTAACCTTTATTCTGAATTGAGTTGTGTTTCGTTGTTTTTATAAGATTGAAGACGTATGCAAGACACCTGAAAAGCCACTTGGTAAGTTCAAAAATGTTCACGGATTTTTTTAGTGTTTCACGGGCAAGCTGAATCTAGATGCGAAAATGTGCGAGGTTTTCGCTGCACAATTAGAACTCGTTCACTTTTTATTTTTACAATAGTAGACAAAAAAAACAAGACAATGTTATCACTGATCAAGGAATTATTTGGACATAAATTTGACATAATTTGTGCAATTTTAGTGTGTAATATMGGTCCTCTTGGAATGGAAAATGGAGCGATTCCAAACTCTAGWATCACAGCCTCGTCAACCTATGCCTATGGCTATGCTCCAGCAAAAGCAAGACTCAATTTAGTTCAAGAGGGAGCGGCGGCCTGGGCCTCGAATAGAAAGAAAGTGGGGGAATGGATACAAGTTGACTTGGGCAAGCTAACTTATGTTACAGGCATCGCTACACAAGGTACAAGGGCATTTCGATTGCAGGGGCGGCGGAGCCGGGAGGGCACGGGGCCCCCCACAAAATATTTTGGGGTCTGAATTTTTGTATCTAAATCTGATTCCAAGCATCTGGATTCGATTGTAAATTCGAAAAAAAATTCGTTAGCATCAGGGTTTCATAAGGGGGGTTCCAGTTGGGGTACCAAACTGTTTAACTATTCGAAAATTGATTTGGCACTTTAGATCTTTTGTCTGTCAAAGTGACCCCCCCCCCCCTGAAACCCCCTAATCATTTGATCTTTTGTCCAGGAAGCAAGCACGAAAACGAATGGGTGACATCCTACAGTCTCAAGTACAGCGTTGATGGTACCGCGTTTACAGACTACGAATCAGGAAAGAACTTGACTGGAAACACCGACATCAACACTGTGGTAAAAAATGACCTTCTCCCGAACATTTACACCAGATACATTAGGCTATATCCGCAGACTTGGCGCAAACATCCATCATTGAGGATGGAGCTTTATGGGGTCAGCTGTATATAAGGCCCCGTGTGCACAATATTATGCTATGGGGGCCGGGAGGGCCGGGAGGCGGCCATTTTCAGTTTACCGAAAGTCTATAAATTGTACTGTGTGTTTCGAATCTTTGACCATCTCGCTTTTCTAAGAACTTTAAACACTAATATAACAAACTGAAATTCGTTTTATGTTGTGTTATTTGGATACTAGAAGTGTTTTGGTGTTAATCGTAACAATAACAGAGGCGCGCAAAGCATAWTGGTGCAAACTAGGCCTTTAATGGGGGATGGTTCGGAAACCTTTTGTTGTTGTTCTTTTGTACATCTTTTGTATGTATTTTGAGGTTGAATCAGTCAAGACCATGCACAACGTTTTTTTATGGACGATGGAAATTGCAAAATGAGTGAACATAAATATTCTCTATGAGATTATGAATTGAAATATTTCAATATTGGTTAAAACGTTTTTGCGCATTTTGAAGAAATAGTCAAAAGAATGATTTTCGCTCTTTTCATTCAGATGTGACCAGTAGGATTGTGCACGGTCACGCTTGGAAAAAAGTGCACAAAACCATTTCTCTATGCAAACTATGATGCAATAAGTTAGATATTAAGACGTTTTAAAAAAWTTTATTTTGGTGCAGTAGCCCTTTTCGTGCCTATAGAAAAGAAGTTCCGGTTTGAACCAATGCCAAGGCACAATCGGGCRACAACCCCAAAATGGTCCTAGTTTGAGAATTTAAGCTTAGTTTTACCAAACATTACATATGGTTTGGTTTAACTTTACATGGAGCAGCCGTTGCTGAATTAACTACCATACAGGCCTTTCTTGATTCCTGCTTTAAACGTAAAGTATATATCCATCAGATTAGACATAAACAAGATCTTAGAACAACAGGACATTCGACTTTATAAGAAGGCAGCCTCTACTGATGAAAGTCATCCTCTCTATAGTTTAAACCTAAGCCTAAATCAACTAGATATGACTTAAGATACTCTGCAGCAGCAAAACCTAAAATATATACTTCTCGATTTATGAACMCTTTTTTCAACAGATTACTATTTGAATATGATGTTATTAAGTTGTAACTTTTTCAATTTTCGTAAATTGGTGTATTTTCTTCTTATTTCTTCAATAAAGACGGATTATTTTCTTTGACCTTAAAATGTTTGCCWGGAACAAAATTATTTTAAAGAAGGAAGGGCGCCATATTTGCTTGTGAGATTGTCAACAATGTAGCTCAAAAYCCCTTTCCCAGGAAATAATTCCACAATAATACGTACAAGAACAGTTATTTAGAAGAGCAAACCCCGTCGGCTCCTCCTGACAACAGTCATGCACAACCAACGACGACTTAATAGGATTTTGAACCACAGCTTAAAATACTACGTCATGCTGAAGAAAAATCGTATACTACAAGTCGCACGCGACAAATCGTACCTTGCAAGTCGGCCTTAACAAGAACACGACAGAAGACAAAATGAGGTCCTTGCGCTCCATTCATCAATAATAGTACACAGTTCTCAGCCAATCACAATGCGCGTAGTATTTCAAGTATACGGCATTCGTTTTAGTCTCCTCTTGCAGCCGTTACGAGGCTCGTTCCCAGGTCACTCATAGAGACTACATTCGCTTGAATAAACGCCGCGTCGCTTATCGACACTTTTATCTCAGTTTGTTTAACATAAAGTCCCTTTATTCGAGAAGATTTATTAAAGCGTTATCGTAAGATCACTGTTTAAAATAGAGTGGAGGGACAAATCTGATAGCAAAGTTACTGAAYAAATATAATAATCTTAATGAAATTACTATCTAAATGTCTCATCAGTTTACATAAGTCTCAGGATCAATCTGAATTATTAAATATTTTTGACAYATCAATGTTGTCTTTGACGCACAGTGAAATAATATACCCAGGTCGTACCGCCAGCCGGGACTTTGTTTTTTTAAAAAAAATCTCTTTGGGTTCCATCATACAAGAACGCTATGTTTTCGCTCACTCTCTTTCTTCCATCTTTCTTCTCTTTTCGATATTTTCTGTGTTTGTGGATCAGTTTTTTTGCTGTTGACTCTGGAAGTTGTCCTTCGCGTTCTTCCAGCATTACCGACTTTGTTACAACGAACCGCATTTACCGAACCATTGAAGCGAAAGATGCTTTCGAATGCTTTTTAAACTGCCAAGATGATGACAATTGCTCTTCGTATAACTATGAATATCAGTCTWACCAACCAGAAAAGCACGTTTGTGAGATTAGCAGATGTGGGACAACAGGGACGACGTTAGTCTCAAAGGAACGATTTTGGTTTCATGAGATTAGACAATCTAAGGTAATTACAACTTACTAACTTTAATTTGCTAGAAAAGAAATAGACGAGAAGTAATGGGGCTGTAAAATTATTTGCCCCCGACAAACAGGCAAAGATGTTATTATTCGGTTATCCACCCTTTCAAAACTCAATATTGTATACTGAATTGAAAAGTCTTAATTAATTAGACGAAGTTTGGCGGCTATCTAGCTATACAATTGCAAAAAGAGTCTATAATTTAATAAGGCGTTTCGAAGGTGATTTTAGATTTAAAAAAGAAAAAGAAAAGTGGTAAAAAAAAACAAACAAAGTGAAACTGAAACGTGGCAATTTGTTTAAAAATAAATTCATTTGCAATTTCTTTAAACCTTGGGATTTTTTCAGGGCGATTCTTGCGGCGGTCGTCGCGCGGACATCGCCTGAGTTGCGAACATGCTTAAAAACTGGCTGCGACTTCGCGGCGATTTTCCATCACCGCAACAGGCTGCAATTTTAGCAAAAATGACAAAAATGGCAAGTGTAAACGGGCCTTGATAGGGATAATCTATTAATCTGCCAAACATTCCCAAGTAGTTTTTTCCTGTTCTTCCCACCTCTCCCGATAAAGGCTGAAGCCACTCACGACTTCGTCGATAGAAAGAAATATGATTTAAGGGAAACGTGTGTGACTAACACATGCTACTTCTATACTTGGCAAGTTTAGAATGGCAATACGCCAGTCAAACTGAAACAGAATTAGCGTTTATATGAATATCAATTTCTTCATAAACAATCCCTACTCAAAGGTTATATAAGAAACGAAATTTCTACCATTGAATAATGCAGCTGTGTTTGTCCAGTCAGTGTCAAACTGAGAAAGAAAGCATAAAGTATTCATGAATTATAAACAGCTATTGAAATCAAGTGCGTATATTCTTTGCGCAATTCACATTGAGTAAAAGTTGAAATTTGAATTTAAAATTTTCAGTGGTGGCACATTTCATATGAAACCTTTAAAAACATTGAAATAATTGATATTTTAGCTTCATTTTTTATATGACGCACGGCGTCACAAAGCGAAGAGTCCTAATCAAACATAAACGCAACACCTTGGTTTTTTAAGTCTTCTATTTTTTTTATTTTAGTAGCAATTTCTAAAACGGTCAAGCTAAATTTTGACGGTTTACTTTCCAGCTCATTTTATGGATTAYTTTTGCGACAAAAGTCATAACTCGAATTTGAAACTTTTTTGCCGTTACTGCCATCAGTCCTTTGACGGTTAGTTTTTCTGCAAAATGTGGTAAAAATAAAAGTGTAATATGAAATTTGCAAGACTTATTTTTTCGGTTTTCACTATATCCTGTTGCTGAAAGGGGATTTTTCTGAAAGACTAAAAGTAACTTCTACGAAAGCAAATCGTAAATAAAAGACGATTATCGTGGCACATAAGGTAGGAGTGTTTTTATCATCATTAGAGAGTTTAAGCAGCACGTTTACGGCAAACGTCTAACGGCAGAGCTGAAGAATTTCGTGCCTGACTTTGTGCTATTTTATTTGACAACAGATTCTCTTGCGCAAAGACCTTGCAAACACCAAAGAAAGAACGAGAAAATGTTTTAATAGGCCATTTGCATTATGACGTAATTTTACTACAACTACCAGAGAGCCTTCCGCATTTTCATTGTTATTCAGATT